TCGTCCGCCATATTGGATTGCTCATGAAAATAGTCTCTAATGCGCATGCGTCCGGTTTTTCCGCTCTGTCGGGTTGGATACAATAAGATTTACCTAAGATTTCAAGGTATAATCATATGGCATCTGCTTCACATAAATTACCTGTAATGATTCCTGAAAAAGTCTTAATCTTCCATACCCACAGTTTGCATCTGATGAATCAACCAATAGAGCGACTCTGTTGCCTTTGACAAGGCCAAAAGACTGTTAAAACAACAAGGGAATGGTAAGCATTAACCATTTTATTGGATTCACCATCATTGGATACACCAGTGACACAAAGTAACCATAATAATCTATCTTCTTTAGAAACCAGCTTAATTGTGTGTGGGTGTAAAAGGTGGAGTGGCATTAAGACGTTTGCCCTAATCACCATTGTGAGTCCTTAACAGCCTTCACTTATTTGATTAATACAGGCACCAAATAGTAATAGACTTTGTTTGATTTATTATGGTTTTTCTCTCCCTTGTCACAAGGGTTTTTCCAAACATGTGAGTTACCAGAGAGTAGTGTGTGGTGAATATTAAATGAAGTGGTAGTATGTTTGGAGTGAACCTCACAGAAGAGGTCATATAAAATATGATCATATTATATATGATCTAATTTATATTTTTATTATTTTAGAGACTATTTTTTATTTTTAGTTTTTTTAACATTTAGTTTCTTTATGCTATTTCTAGCAGGACCCCCATTGATAACAGCATTATTGTTAAAGGGTCTTTATCCTGCATAAATATTCATATTATTATTATTATTATTATTATTATTATTATTATTATTAAGAACTGCCTACAATAAGTAATGTTTGTAAAATATTATTATTTCATTATCTAGATGCTAAGCATTTATACTGTACCCTTCTACTGCCTCGAAGTAGCCAATTTATTCTTTCTTGACAAAGATTAATAACATTATTAAGCTTAAATTCAAACTCTTGAAGCTTTGCTTCATCATATTTGATGTATGCTGTGTCAGGATTGGCATCAGATGGTGGCCTGCCATCAAAATAATACACAAATATGTTAAACCTTAGTTAAAAGTCATAATACTGTATTTATTTGTTTGCCCATTCATTCATTTATTCATATATTCATCCTCATCCATAGATTTTATCCTCTTTCTTCTTTCCACCCTCCCATCTATCCATCCCTCTATTCTACCATCCATCCATCTTCTATCCCTCCATCCCTCCATCTCTCCCTCCCTCCCTCCATCCCTCCCTCCCTTTCTCCCTCCCACCATCCCCCCCTTCCTCCCTCCATCCCTCCCTCCCTCCCTCCCTCCATCCCTCCCTCCCTCCATCCATCCATCCATCCCTCCCTCCATCCATCCATCCATCCATCTTTCCATCCATCTATCCATTCTTTCATTCATTTATTCATTCAAAATTAACTCACTTAATACGTATCCCACACTTGAGTATTTCATCTATAGTCAATGCTTCAGCATCAATACTGTGCCGCATCAGCCAGTCATTCGATGACTGCCCTTCAGCATGTGCTGCCTCTAACCCAAGAACTTCCTACAATAAAAGACAATAACATACTCCATTTACTAAAACAGACACTAACACCATAACTATCTACAATTACATGTATAAAAACAAACATATTATTAAAACCAATTACACTTTTTTCTAAAGATTTCTCTTACATTTACAGAAGTAAATAGTGAAGGAAAAATAGTTGATTAAAAGGATGATCAAGTAAAATAAAAGTTAAATCAAGTAAAATCCAGTAAAATAAAATTCAAAGGAAAGCATGGTAAACAATACATCAAAATTATTTACAGTAAACAAAGAGTATTTCTAGTTTAGTGATAAACTTCATACTCTATTCAAACGACACATATACATAAGTATATTATACAATTATTTTTGTAATAGAAAAAAAATAGTATATTGGAATAAAAGTTTTAGGATTTTCTCCTGTGCCTCAAGGGTTTTCTCCAAGTTTCCTGGTTATAATAATCCCTCCAATGTTTAAATAAACACTTCTAAAGTTCAACTTAACCATGAAATGAGGCCACCGGTTTATTAGCTAAAGATGTATAAAGTGCTAACCTCAAAACTTTAGAGATAATTTTTTTCAATCTCTTTTCTAGAATTTTAAATGAATATATTCTTGATAAGAGATCAAAATCTTGGTTTGATATTCAAGAAATATTGAGTATATTAAATTACCTAGTTTAAATATAACAAAGGACACAACAGATATAAACAAAAGTAAGAGAGAGATACCTTGTCGTCCTCTTTGGGTTGGAATTTCTTAGATTTGTTCACAATAATTAACTTGATATGCATCTTTGTACACGACAAAACAACTATACCCAAAAAATTGGGCTTTTTTCAATAATTTGAACTCAGATACAATTGAAATTAATACATTTGGAAGAACATTTTTGGGAAAGATGTAGCAGAAAATTTGGAAAAAATGTAATGAAATCTCTTAAAAAATACTTTTAAGATTACAATTCATTCTTTCCATAGCAATTTTTTACAGATTTTGTAAAATTCACAGGTCTGATTCTAGTCTGTTTGTGTCACCTAAACAAGCTTGGTGTTTCTAAGAGAAGCTTTAATTTATTCACAGTTTTACTCATTAAATATTCAAGACAGATAAAAGTGTATGAGAGGAATAAGTCATACTAATCATATAATAGACAGCTAATTAGCATATTATTGACACAGGGAACCCAGCAAGAAATTTAGTGACCAAAGTTAACCAATTATTACTTTGAGTGTAATTTTTCCCCCCAAAGACCACAGACCATTTAGACTCTTAGCTTTGTTATAATTTTTTTTTCCATTTCAGACCATGTGTCATTCCCTAGAGTATCATTTTTTGTTTAATGGCTGCACAAGAGAAAACACAGTTTTTTTCCATTTCAGACCATGTGTCATTCCCTAGAGTATTATTTTTTTAATGGCTGCAAAAGAAAAAACACATGAATATGGATAAAATTCAAACAAAAAATGTATTATAGAATTTTCAAAAAACATTCTTTGTTTGAGCTAAAAATTCATATAAGTCTCTTCATAAAATGCTAGATTATCATTAGACAAAAACATAATAAAGAAGGGCTTTTCTAACCTGTAGATCTGTATTCTGCTTGATTGAGGTAACAGTCAGAGACCTCGGAGGTAGAGCATCAATAGTACTTAGCATTTCCCATCTCGGTTTTTCCATCAATTTTGTTTTTTCTTCTGGGTAACTACTTTGACTGTCTCTTCTTTTCATAGTTACACGATGTTTTGGTTTCGACTGCCAAGAAACTGGTCTCTTTTCTTTTTCTTCTTCCGTTGCTCTGCCATGATGAACTCTGACGGCTGGCTTGGCAGACTTTGCTCTAAAAATTTTGGGACAAATAAACAGTTTATAATCAAGTAAGTGAAAAATGAAACAAAATCAATTATTTATTATTATTATTTGTTATAATTCTGTATACTAGAGTGTAAATAATTAATCCGTGAAACACTAGTTACTAAATAGTACAAAATAGTGCTAGTTAAGCAATAGAAAACAATCGAATTTGCATGAAATTTTGCTATTTAGTATTACTAAAGTTTCACGGTTATATTGTTTGCACTCTATTAAGCATGAATGGAAATTTTGTCCCATTTAATTTTTTACATTTTTCGTTATCTCAAAAAAAACTTTCCAGAATTTTGAGTATTTAATGAGGTTTCTTTTAACATGTTCAGTTTTCATTATCGTAATAAATAATTAATTGTCGTGTACTTGCTGGAAACCACAAAATAAGAAGCCTGGATCAATTCAGCTGTCAAAGTGTCAGGTCACTAAACAAAAACTAAACATTCATCAAAAAAGTTTCCAGCTTTTGACCAAAATTCTGTAAAAAAATTACGGATAGATTTTCAGTACTATTTCTTTTCTTCTGTGGGAAATATAAATTTCTGTTTTTGCATAAAAAATTCAAAGACACAAAAAAATAAAATAAAATATATATTGTTATGATGTTGGTTGGCTGTGCATAAAAATACATCAATATTAAAAGGTACAATGACAGTTAAAAGATCAAAGACTCTACACTGTACCCGTCAAAGAATTGTGATAATTTTGTTATTTTTAAAAACACAAGATTAAAGAGAGATAAAGTCAAAACATCAAAGATGAAGTCTACACTTTTCTACCTTGGTTGTTTTGGTCTTGGGACTTCGATATCCGAGTGCGTTATACTCCAAGACTGTTTCGGAGGACTAAATAAAACCACAATAAGTTAAAATAATCATAGATAAGTCTTGTAAGTGAAGATCTAAGGTTTCTAGCAACCGAGGAATACCTTTCAATTGGTTTTTCTTCGCGCGGATTTTCAGCTTCACTCTCAGATTCCGAGCTTGATGAGCTAGAACTTGAGCTCGAACTCTTTCTAAAAGCTTTAAAAATCTTTTTCATTGTAGTACCGGCTTTCTCATATTATCAAAATGGCAATCATTTGGTTATTGGGATTAATAAAAGATCGAGTTTGTTTTAGAAATTCCTTTAAGGTTCAGACGCCATTTTGAAAACTGTGCGTTGCCCTGGGAGCTTATGAACAACAAGGGAAGGGACGGGAGAATTGTAGGGGAGGGTCGGAGCCGCCAAATTTCCTCAAATAATCTCGGGATTTAGACTTAAAATTCTGTCAATGAAGTCTTTATTTCAGACTAAAAACTTGTACAATTAAAGCTTATTATAAGTTACGAGAGAATTATCAATATTTCTGTTGAATATTTTGTATAAAAATTTTATAACTCAGAAGTAGATTTGTTGAGAAATCCAAGACTATAATTTTAGTTTTAAAAAAGTAAACAATTTTATTTTTTCTTCTATTACGTAGAAAAATAAGCAAATGAAGATTTATTGTAGTTTTATGATAATGCATATGAGGTAGTTTTAGAATAAGAAAAAGGCATAGAATGTCTGTCAATCAGTATTTAAAGTTAAAAACATTTTTTAAGTTGAAGTTGAAAAAAAAAATTTTAACGAATAAACTTATTAGAAGAAACTAAAACGTACCGATAATTTTCCCCATTCGTTTATATCTTTTTAGAGTTTACGGTTTTATTAACGTAATATGAATTAATCATTTGAAAAAAGTTAGCACAAAAATAAATCATAACAAGCACACGAAATGGTGTTTTTTCTCCTCTTTTAAAACTTGTTTTTACGACTTTCCGAAGAAAAAAAGAATGAATAGTTACTGGTTAGCAAAGCATGTTATGATTTCCTTTCATTCATTGTGGGGGGTGAAAAGCAAGAAATAACGTAAAAAAAGTAAAGAAACGTTTGTTCTCATACATTATAAATGTTAAATAAAACACTGATTTGGTCGAATTTGTCATGAATTTTTAAGTAGTTTTCTTGACTTCGTAGAACTAACTAACCTAACTTTGATTATGGCTCAGTATTGCATAAATGTTATGGCCCTCTTGTCACCCAATCGTAAAGAGTGTCTTTAACCTTTATTATTCCTTAGCCAATGAGGAACCTTTTCTTTAAACTCTTAATTGAAAACGTCCAAACTATCAATCATCTCCCGTGGATAGATAGTGTTGTGTTCCACCGCGCTTGCTGTGTACAAATAATCACTGGATTTGCGAAGCTATGGACTCCGGATCGATCCTGCACTAACTTCCCAACAAAACTGTTAGAGTGAAAAAGATATGGATTTGAATAGTTTAGCAAAAAGTTTGGCCCAAGTATGGATGATCTAGCTAATTCTGCTGAAGCCGAGGGGTTATTTTCCAAGCGGTCTTCGTCTAATATCCTATCGGATCCTAGGATACTTGAACATCTTCGTATTGTTGCGGAAGAAGCTCAAAGTTCTGAAAAGAACGATGAAGATTCCGAAACAGAAATGGTTGTTAATAAGCGAGAACTTGCGGAGAAAATCGCAAATTATAACAAGAGAAATCAAGGGGCATTTCGTCTGGTTATGAAAGAGGTTAGTATATTGTTATTAAGTAGTGAAAGATTTTCTAACCTAGTTTTCTAATCTTATAACAACAAACTAGACTTAAACTTGACCTGCAAATTCTACTAAAAACTTTTCAACTCTCCTAGTCTTCTATGTAAACTATAATATTTGAAAATTTGTATCTTATTTGAACTGATTCCGTGTGTGTATTCAAAACAATATAATATACGTTTAATACTTCAAAAATAATAAGTTTTCTGTTCTGCTCGAGTAAGAATGTTAAGACAATCACACTCCACGAGACGGTAAAGAGATTTTCACTTTAGCTCGTCAATCCTAATTTGGAGTGTTGTCTTTTCTCGTTCTTAGTCGTTAAATTGATTATCATTTGTGACGCATTTTTATGCTTTTAGGACCTAAACTTCGAGGGAGCGTTGAGGTTTTATTTCGAAGATGGAAACGAAAAAATCACCAAAGCCATAAGATTGACAAACAAATCCCTTGTCTCTGAGATATTACCAACTTTGATTGAAAAGTTTAAGCCAGACTTAGAACAATCTAGTCTGCTCCGTAAAGCAAAGCTGTATGAAGTTCACGATGAAGACGATAGAGAAGGTAAGGACAAGATTCATATATACTTTAGTTTGATCCGAAAACTTTTTTCTCGGCTACAATAAAATTAAAATAATAGTCATAACTCATGCTACTTAAGTTTGTCTACAGTTGAATGGCTTTCGGCTCAATCTTCTTTTTAAATAGTATCAACTCATATCGACCAAAAATCAATATTCTAAGGATATGAATTTTATAGTGGTTTCAAATTAAAATTCATGAGCTGAATAAATGCTGTCTTGTTTACTCAACTTTCATTCCAGCCATAACTTGGTTGAAACGTTAGGTTAACCGCGTTAAAAAACACCAAAAAGAGCTAGTGAGAGCTAGGTATTGATTCAAATTTGGACACGAAGAAATTTTATATAAAAATATGTATCTCTATGTATTGTAGATACTGTAACTATGGAAATCATAAGCTTGTCTCACGCTGCTCGTGATTTTAAATGATTCTATTCTACGAGAATTTTTAAATATTTTCTACTATACCACATTTCCGGTTAGCTATTTTTACAACACGAAACGTCAATGAAAGCTCCTTTCGTCAGAAACCCTCACTTTTTCGTAAAACACTTGATTGTTTTGAGGACGAAAAGATCTCTGATCTTTGGTCTTTTGCTTCGTAATATTAATTTTTTTCGCTTCATATTATGTCTACCGCGCTAGCTAACATTCACGAACAATTGTTTTTCTTCCTTTTCGATATCTCTTGTTTTGTTTACAGTTAATCTATGTTAGAGCTTTTTAAAAAACAATTGTCTTCAAACAAAAGCGCTATTTCACGCTGGTTTGCTTCCATGCTTCGAGCGGAATCACATCCCGGGCAACCGTTAATTATTTCTTAGTGCGTTTATAACTAATCCTCCTTCAACTGGTGTCGAAATCTATTTGAAAATTTGTGGTAATTTCATTAAAACACTTCGAATCTCAACAAGATTTTTATCATTATGTTCTCAAGTGACTCTTATAGTTTTAAGTCAGCTTTGTAGTCTAAGATCTGTTGAGCATTTTAAGACTGACAACAAAATGATGTGTTGGGACTGACAAATTTCACTTGTGATAGATTGATGACTCATTTTCTACTTGAAATGATTAGGAATTATTCTTATTTTCTTCGATTTTTATTCCTTTTTCCAACTTCATTTAAAAATTAATTCAAAGTAATCCCCTTTTCCTCTTCAGTGCACTACTTAAGACTCGATTTTGCAATTGTCGTTTAGAAATTTGAAAAACCTTTGAGTAACCATTTAGGCATTTCATGTACGACGAGGAATGAGATATGTCAATGATATAAGCCTTAGTGATAGGTTAAACACATGTATGTAATCTTACCTTAATAACTTGAAGGTATATTGTGTACATAATGCTGGAGCCATAAAAATTCCTTTTTAAACTATTTTATGCTCAATTTTGCTGGTTTTCTTTCATTTTATCACCCTATTAGACTCGATATATCTTTCTTTTTTTTTATTTTGTGAATAACGTCGTACACATTTTTCTTTTAGCGTTTTGTTTTTTTCTTTCTTTTTTTTATTTTTTTATTATGTAGTTCGCGTTTTTCTTGACTGACATATGTGAAAGTATTAAAGGATCATCAGTGCGGTAAATAACTGCGGTAGATTGACCCACGCCTATTGTAACATCTGCGTGACAACTGCGCTAAGATTACGTCTTTGATAACTGTGCGCAACTTGGTTCTACGATGGAAATATTTATTTCATGATGTGATCGTAAGATTCAAATTTCAGTGATAGAAAAGTTCATATGGGACTGCCCTTGCGTGCACTAGACTATACATTCATATACTGACATTACTGCCCTTGCCCGCACTAGACTATACATTCATATACTGACATTACTGCCCTTGCCCGCACTAGACTATACATTCATATACTACACAAGGGCAGTAATTGTAGTATATGAATGTATAGTGTACTGAGAGCGCGCAAGGGTTGTAATGCTAGTAAATCAATGTATCAGTCTAGTACAGCAATGTTAGTATATGAATGATAATATTAATTATAAATTATAAATATTATCATACACTTGCATTACTGCCCTTGCGCGCACTAGACTATACATTCATATACTTACATTATTTCACTAATTCTCTGGTGTTTTATTCGATTCCCAGCTGATGAAATTTGTCTAGATCCATCTGATTACCCTCTAGACATCGCGCTTAGTGCCAGACGTTTCCCACGATTCGTTCTACGCTTAGAGTATGAACGACCAACCAAGATCACATCCCCGCAGCTAAATGGCATCACTAAGCAACAAGAGCCAAGAAAAAGTTCCCTAAACTCTTCCGTTACGAGCCTGAAAAGTGCGGCTAGTGATGGCAGCTCAACCAGTGGATCGACTCAAATGAGCAAAGATAGTCACAACAGTACCTCCCTAGGTAGTAGATTCTCTCCCTCCAAGAGCTCAACGTCTTCAGGTACGCCTACCTCAGGAAGAAAGAGCCAGGTCGATAGACCGTCAAGCTCGAGTAGCGATCGCGGGAAGAACTTCTTCAAGAACGCGCCGTCACCAAAATCTGCGCCTGGAATGTTCTTCGACGGAGTAGGTTCTGGTAAAGATCAAGATCGAAGCGCGCATCAAGCGCACAAGGGTTTCCGCGTCAAACATCAGAGAAAACGTTCATTTGGATCCCTGTTAAAACTAAAGAAAAATAGTGCCGCAAAGAAAACAGTCGAGTTATCGACCAATCAGCTTGCCCCTGGAGTCCTGAAGGTTTTTGGCGGTCACGTTTCTCCTGGTTCGAATTATAAAAGCGTACGAGCTACAGAACTTACCGCCGCTGCGGAGATCGTGAAAGAAGCGCTAGAACGTTACTCCCTTGACAGTTCGAAATCCAATGATTATGTCCTCTGCGATGTGATCGGGTTTTTCCCCAGTACTGGCAATGACACAAGAAAAGAAAACGCGGTGAACGCGCAATCGTCGGAATCAGAAAAATGGATTACAGAATACTCTAGGGTTATCGGAGACCAGGAAAAACCCCTGGTTCTTCAGCAACTTTGGAAGCCCATTACTGGCTTCTCTCGGCGGTTTGAGCTTAGAAGAAAGATCGAAACGCAAGAATCGAGCTTTTTTCAGCCAAGAGGCAGTATTGCGGTCGTGAAAGCTGCCTCGGTGCGCGAAGTCAAAATGCCTCCCGCGATTAAGGAGGCGCAGAACAACAAAAGAACCGTCGGTTCCTTCGGCCATTTTGAAAGTTTTGGGACCGAAGAAGGCAGTAGTTCGAGTCGCCCGTCCGTCATTCTATCTCCTTTTCTTCCGCCAACAGACACTCCTTACTTGTTACTAATCAGAGGCTACGCTATCGCTGAAGATCATCTTTATTACAGACTCGATGAACAAATCGCGCTTATTGGTCGTCATAGCAACGCCCCTGGTAACGGTAGCCATGGTGATTATGACGAGCATAATCCTGATATCAGTCTGTTTGCACCGGATGTTCTTCCTCATCATTGTGTACTCAGTAAAAAGGTCGAAGCAGACGGTGATTTCGACTTGGAAGACGAATGTGACGTTAATTTTGTCGTCTGTCTAGACCCTAACAAGGAAGCGAGCGTGAAAATCAACGGGGTTCCAATCACCTCTCCTATCAAACTATCCCCTGGGGACCTTATATCCCTGGGTGCTCACTATGTTTACATGTTTAAGGACCCCACACAGGTCCTTGATAGCTCTTTACAACTGAACTGGATGAACGTTCTGCAGAAATTCCACGAGATGTCCAAGAATTTCAAAAGAAGTGTTTCGGAAACGGATACCATAGGTTCTGAGACTTCTTTAGAGAGAACGCAAGAGAACGATGGAAAACTAAGGCTGATTTATAGAGTAGAAAATGAAGACAGATTGTTAGATACGATTATGAGTTTGTCGCAAGAGGACGGGTATGAGTTAACACCAGCGTATCTTCTAGTCTTGTGCATTGAACATTCGTCTAAGTATCACAAGGAGATTCAGACTAGGCGATTAATGGTTAAAATTTCAAATGCTATACAAAGTGTGGCCTGGGTAAGTTATGCCATTCTTTGCTGCTACAGTAAATCCTTTGTTTGCCTTGCTATACTAACTATAGAGCGTTTTCACATGACGTTGCACAGCTGCCATTTTGGTGTACCTTTGACAATAACTTTGTCATTAGTTTCTTTTGTTAGGTACGCCAATATGGCTGCCATCTCTGTTGTCAGACATGACGTCACAGCCGCCATATTCGTGCACCTTTGACAATAACTTTGTCATTAGTTTCTTTTGTTAGGTACACCAATATGGCTGCCATCTCTATTGTCAGCTAACGCTCTAGGGAATGAGTGAAAACACTCTATTATATCCATTCTATCTATTCTCCACCGTGCTAACCATTGCTTGCCCGTCTGTTAATCCATTAGTGCAATGCGTGTAATTCGAAGAGGATCTTGTGTCCCATTGTGCAGCACCAGCCTAGCTGAGGGCAAAATCTCAAATAATAAATAATAATAATTGTCATTTTTTACACTAATTCTAATCGTTCTTGTTTGATGTTCTCGATTTTAGGAAAGAACAACAGAAATGTCAAATACCATTGAAAAGTAAGTGATAAAGGTTTATTTAATACTCAGTGCACCAAATAAATGCTTTCTTTCCATCCTTCTGATCAATACACCGTTTTCTCAAGGTTGCGTGCGCATCCAATCTTGACGGGCTACGAAACTGAAAAACGCAAATTCAGTAAAGTTGAGAAGCCAGTTTTATATTTAAAGAGGAGAATAATCGATGTTATGAATTATTATCGAAAAAAATTCAAAGCAGTGCATGATAATACCTGTGTTCTGGATCGTGGCCCGTCAAGTTCCTTAAAATTGGATGCGCACGCAACCTTGAGAAAACGGTCTATTCGTGGTTCCGATTCCCCTTAGTTACCGTTGCTACTCTCTTCGGCATGACGTCGCATTCTCGTACCTAGACTCTACTCATTACACAAATTGTGACGGGAAAGAATGGGAGTGCTAATCAGCCGCTCGGAGACTGGGCAAAACATATTCTAGACAGGAATCAGTTACACTATGACGAAAAGCGAGCAAAAGCATCAAAACTCCATGTCTATTAAAGTGTCTTTGAGATGATGAAAATTGCTGTTAAATTGTGGGAATAAATAAAAATAATAAATATGTAAAAAGGAAAAAAAAAAGGAAAAAAAAAGGGGGGGAAAAAGGAAAAAAAATAGAAATGAAAGCTTGAGTAGGTAGACGTTTTTGGTCACCCATCCAGGTACTAACCCTGCCCCACCGGGCTTGACTCAGTGTTTTTTGGAAGCCCAAGGTTTTTCCCACTGGACCACGGTTCCAAGAAATTAACACAACAATAGAGGTGAAAACAATGCACCGAATAGACTAGACTTTTCAACTTCATACTTTCAACCGATTCCGTGCGTTGCAGAGATGCAAGGGGTCAGCCGATATGGTCTGGGGGCCGGCTGGTCTCTCCCCTGATGCTTCGGCTAGAACATTTTCTTGCGTAATTCGTACACCCAAGGGCAGAAGGATTTAATCGCCGTCAGGTCCGAAGTCCATACGCCGCCTCAGCTCTGCGGATGTCTCGGGGGTATGGCAAAATTGAGTCGAGTTAATGTGTTCTTTTTTTCTTTAATTGTGGTGGTTTTTTTTTATTTATTTATTTATTTTCCTTTTTTCCTTTTTTTTTTAATAAAAAAAATTTTTTTTAATTTTTTTATACACTTTTTGTTTTGTTTTGATTTTTTTTTTTGTTTTAGCATTTTTTGTAATTCTTTACTGGAATTGAAATGTACGGTGGCCCATGAGGTACATGCAGCAAGTTAGCCGACGAGTTGCATGCTGCAAATAATAAGAAACAAGTTGTTAAAGGACAGGCATTTCGAGCGCAATTTGCCGATTGGGACGGCTGCCTTATTTCCTAAGGGGCACAAAAAGAGTCTTTCTCATTCTATTCTATTCTTCTATTCGAGGAAAAACAAACACATTAAATTTCTATAATTTCTGTTTGTATGATAAACGAATAAAGTATATTGTTGAGTGACATTTTGCTGTTCGATCATTCACCAGGGATACGCCGCCAGATAGAGCCATGAGCGAATTGCTGCCACAGTTGAATCCCGTTATCTTCTGGATGTCAAACGCGTTGGAGATGTTTAATTTTTTAAAGTCCAAGATATCGCGTTACCTAGGTGATGCATCTCTTGTCAGTTCCCATGTTGACGAACCGCTGACCAACGCTGACGAAGAGCTGCTGGTCTGTCTGGAAGAAGTTGTGATGTACACTTTTCAACAGACCGTTTATCATCTTACCAAGGTGAAGAAGGACGACTTGTAAATATTTTTACAGCTTTATCAGCATCAAAATATATCTCGCCCTCTCTGCTCTGCTCTGCTCTGCTCTGCTCTGCTCTGCTGTATCTTTTGATTCAAATTAATGCTTGCGACTTTTAACCTTCGTGTTTTTATGTCCCAGGTGCTGTATGTCGCTCTTCCAGTCATCCTCGACACTAACCCATTCCAGTTTGACGACGACGACTCAGACGACAAGAAACGACCACAAGAAATCGACATGGTTATCAACATTTTCAACCAGACCTACGAAGCTCTTCACAAATGTAGCGTACACACAGACATCGTCCACCAACTCTTCGCATACCTTTTCTTCTTCACCAATGCCTCTCTCTTCAACACCTTAATGGAGCGAGGAGCCGGAGGCAAGTTCTACCGCTGGGCTAAAGGAGCGCAGATTCGTGGTAACCTCGACGCGCTTGAAAGCTGGGCATCTCAAGTAGGTCTTCAGGAGGAATATGTACATTATTTGACGAGACTCTCCACAGCCGCTGACTTACTGGCAACACCCAAGGTTCAACTATTGCAGGTAAAGTGGACACATGTTTATTCTTCGTTTGCACGTTACGTCATCGCGGCCATTTTGGTACCATTTAACAAAAGATTTCTCATTAGCATCCATTGTTAACAGTACCACAATAGCCGCCATGATTTTATCTTTTAACTCTCTTGGGAATGCTTGCAACCCATTAATAATTTACCATTTTCCATACATTGGTTGACTGGTCAAACGCAAAGCGCTCTAGCGAGGCGCCAAGGTACTTTCAAAGGATTATTAAAATTTGAACCTTGCATCCTCGACTGAATGCTTTGTATTTGACCAGTGAACCGATGTATGGAAAATGGTGAATAATGAAACCAGGGCAGTATTGAAAACAGTCGATTGAATATAAAACAAGGTTATGAAAAACAGAATCAAAGGGGTCTTGTCTTAGATCAGCCATGAGATTAACGTTTCATACTGGCGTTCGTTTTTTCCTTCAGGCCGACTGGACAACAATTCGTCGAGATTTTCCCGCGCTTAACGCGGCTCAAGTACAACAATTATTAGGCGAATACCAGCTGGGACCTGGAAAATCGCGTCCGCGCGGCTGGTTCCCGCCACCAGAAGAAGTTGAGCCTGCGCTTCGAACTGGTAAGTGGATACTACCACAGGAAACTCACATAAACCTTTCACATGCTTCTTAAATTTGTATGAGTGGGAAGCCTGTGGTAACCTGAGTTTTATTTCGTATTGAAGTATTATGATTTGATAATGTTCGCCTTCTTACCTTTTGGTAGCCCGCCTTTGCTATGTTTCGTTGTTTCCTGCTCAAGCACATGGCCACTGCGCACTCCACCCGTTCTTCTTATGTAGACGCCATTTATAACTTGTTTCAACATTAATATCTTTCAGCTGATATATTATTGAGCTTTGCCGATCATCCTCCACTGTCCTTACCGTCAACAAACTTCACATTTGACCTCAGAAATGGTCCATCAAGCCAGTTGTTCTACGACTATCTTGACTTTATTAAGCGTTCTTCCAATTCTGGTAGGTAACACGGCAAGTGTGACTTATGTCATGTCCTACATTTTACAATGATTTTTTTTTCAAAACGGTTTTTTCAGGTTTCCAAAATGCAGACTGGAAAACATATAAATCATCGAATAAGTAAGTATTAAGTACTATTCTAGTAAAGAGAATACGCCTGACAAGGATTGGATGGTCGGATAAGAATAAGAATGTAGTTGGAATGTATTGGATGAACGTATAGGAGGAATAAGAATGTACCTGAAATGGATTGGAAAACACGTAGAAACAAGTTACAATTGTAGTTGTTTTAAATTATTGTAATCTATATTTACTTTATATAACTATTCCCAAAATGTTTCAGCTTACAGAGACCGGAACCGGAAGTGCCATCTGTCATCGCACCGGAAGTTGGTTCACCGGAAGACCTGGATGATATTGATGTACCATCGGTTACTGTATCACCACCAACTCCTATGCCACAAGACGGTGAACGCAGTAAACAGCAGTTTTCTTTTCCCGCGACACAAAAGCACCATGGTAATTAATGGGAGGAGTTTGCTACAAATAGACGTCATT